TAATCACATAAGCTGCAGCTCTTGATTTTTGCATGTCTAAATATTTTTTTTTCTCATGTACTTATTTCTAGACTGGAAAGAGCAAAGAAACTGCAAGAACAGAGAGAGAAAGAAATGGTTGAAAAACAGAAGCAACAGGAAATGGCTGCAGGTAGTCCATGTATATTATATTAATTACTAAACAATAGTGTGACTGGAAGGATAGGGTAGGTTTATGTCCTGAGTGTTACAGTCCTGTCCAACAGGCTGGAGAGGTGGGCTTGTGCAAACCTCATGGAGTTCAGCAAAGCCAAGTGCAAAGTCCTACATGTGAGTTGAGACACAGGCTGGGTGAGGAGTGGGTTGGGAACAGCCCATCCGAGAAGGACTTGGGTTGTTAGTGGATGGAAACCTGACTGTGAGCCAGCAAAGTGCACTTGCAGCCCGGAAAGCCACCCGTGTGCTGAGTTGCATTGAGAGCAGTGTGGCCAGCAGGTTGGGGGGGGGGGATTCTCCCCCTCTGCTCCGCTCTCATGAGACCCCCCTGCAGTGCTGGGTCCAGCTCTGGGGGCACCAACAGCAGAAGGACACGGACCTTCTGGAGCAGGTCCAGAGGAGGCCACGAAGATTCTTGGGGGGCTGGAGCACCCCCTGTGACGACAGGCTGAGAGAGTTGGGGGGTTCAGCTGGAGAAGAGAAGGCTGTGGGGAGACCTTAGAGCAGCCTCCCAGGGCTGAAAGGGGAGAGGGACTCTTTATTGGGGGGTGTAGGGATAGAACCAAGCAGTAACAGTTTTAAACTGAAAGAGGGGAGATTTAGAGGAAATCTAAGGAAGGAATTCTTCCCTGTGAGGGTGTGAGGCCCTGGCACAGGCTGCCCAGAGAAGCTGTGGCTGCCCCCTCCTTGGAAGGGTTCAAGGCCAGGTTGGACGGGGCTTTGGGCAACCTGGGCTAGTGGAAGGTGTCTCTGCCTGGGGAGGGGGTGGAATTAGATGATTTTTAACATCCCTTCCAACCCAAACCAGTCTGTGATTCTGTGTGCAGGTTGTCTTTCATTGTAATTGTTAACTTGGTCCATGTATAAATACCACAACTAGAACAAAGAAATGTTTGGACTCTGCTGTTCCTCCCCCCTCTCAAAAAAAAAAAAAACAACCCACAACGCAGACATGAAACTCCCACAGAAATGATCAGGGTTTCTTACCACTTAACAAGTATACAACAGAAATGCTGTATGTTAGGCTGGTAGATGATTTCATGATGGTCATTGGACTCTTATGCATCGTTAAGGAAGAGTTGGAAAGCTGTTACCAGCTCTCAGGGGTATTTAGAAGCATGAGGTACATTAGTTTCACTTTTAGTTCTGGCTTACCGAAACTATTGCAGACTTGGTTCTTAATTTACAAATAATATGTATTTTATCATGCATTTGTTATCTGGGCATTTTCAACTTATTTCTGATGAGGGGAAGTGTTTATTTGGGGTTGGGGGTGGTGGTGGTGGTGGTGTGTGTTTGGTAGCATTGGTTTTGTTTTCCATAAAGTCTGAACCTACTGTCTGATAGCATGTCACCTTCCTTCTTCAGCGGCTGCAGCCACTGGAGGTTCTGTTATTAATGTTGCTGCTCTTCTGGCATCGGGAACACAAGTAACTCCTCAAATAGCAATGGCAGCTCAGATGGCAGCACTACAAGCAAAGGCGCTAGCAGAGACTGGCATAGCTGTGCCTAGCTATTATAACCCAGCAGCAGTGAATCCAATGAAATTTGCTGAGCAAGAGAAAAAGCGGAAGATGCTTTGGCAAGGCAAAAAGGAAGGGGTAATGTTGTCCTTTCTTACTTTCATCAAACTTGCTTGGAAGCACCTTATGCTCAGTTTAGGATGCTTATTAATGTTGTTTCCAGCAAAATTACTTTCAGACCTGTTAGAATGTTTCCCTATTAACAGCAGCCCAAGGTAAAACTTGAGTAGTGGAAGGAGTAAGATAACTGGACCTTTGGTGACAAATGATTGTGACACAAGCCTCAGGAAAACCCTTCCTGTCATAAAACTTGAGATATAATTGGATCTTAATATTACTTTTGTCAGTTTCCCTACAACTTGCAACTAAGTATCCAATACAGATGCACTTGTTTTTACTGAAAAGTGATGGCTAAGGTATAGAAACTCTAACTGACCACTCCTTTCTGTGACTGTAGAGATTTTTCATTCAATTGTGGCATCCTGTCCAATTCTGCACTTCAAAAATGAGGCTGCAAACCTTGCTAGTAACTTTTTAGGAGTAGTGTAATGCATTACTAACACTAACAAAAGTTATAAATACAAATAAGCCTTCAGGCTTCTATGCTGTATCAAATAAATCTCTTGCAATTAGTGAAGTATAGGTCACCAAATAAAAAGGCTCCTGTTGTGGTTGCTTTTTCAGAAGGTCACTGGATTTGAGAGTACAGGTTTTGCCTGATGGTAGTATGGAAAAATCGGCACTTTAACGTGTGTTTCTGTCTTTTGACACACTATGTTAGGATAGAAGTGTGTGTTGGATTAGATTATCGTGCAACTGCATGTTACAAGCTCACTTAACTTTTCACAGACTGTTTCATAAGATGTGAAAAATTGAAACTGGTTCATGTGACATGGATGGTAGGCAGAAGGGAGGAAAGAAGAAACCTGAATGCTGTCTAATCATTTCTTCCTAAATTGTGCTAAATATTGGTCAGTTGTAATAAGCAAATTCATTTTTCCATAATTCACTTTAAGCATGCATTCTGACAAGGTATACGGAAATGAGTACACTCTACCCAGTAAAGAACATACCTCCATTTTGAAAACTGTGGTTAAGCAGACTTCCCTCACAGAGTTTCTGTGAGGCTGCTACAGCAGTGTCACAGAGATGTGACTTGGAAACCTTTTGCTTCAGCTGTGCTAGTGTTACCCAGTGGGCTGCTCATTTTTAATGCTGCTTTTTTTGCCTCCTACTGTATTGTGATATTAATGGAAACTTACATAAAAAGGTAATACGTGGTGTTTTTTGACTACAGGACAAATCACAGTCTGCAGAAATATGGGAAAAGCTAAATTTTGGAAACAAGGACCAGAATGTCAAATTCAGAAAACTTATGGGCATTAAGGTAAAGAGTTCTGAATGTGTAATTTTATTATGACTTGTAGTATAGTAGTGATTTCTTTATTTTGAAGTGTACCTTAACCAGTAAAGATGTTAACCTGATTACTACCTGATGTAGTTAAGAACTTTTTAAGTATTTCTCATTAAAGTTCACAAGCCACATCTAATTCTGAATTCAGTTCAAATTCTAGAAATTCATTGTTTCTGGCTAACAAGGGAACTGTTTTGATCTGTAACAGTGATAGCCAGTACTCATAATTGATAAACTTTGTATACATAGTTAACTGGAGACATTTATTAGAATGAGTTAGAAGGAACTTGATGAAGGCCTTTATGTGTTTTTTAACAGTGAGAAAGGACAGCTATGCTTGAATGTTCCAGCCATAAAACCAAATGCTTGAATTCTTACTAGCTTTTGAAAAGAACAGAACAAAATTGTTACGTTTTGGGCACCTGTAGTGTATGAAAACACCACTTCCTATACAGCTAATGTTTGTTTTCTTCTGTCTGGTTTCTAGAGTGAGGATGAAGCTGGCTGTAGTTCTGTTGATGAAGAGAGTTACAAAACGCTGAAACAACAGGAGGAGGTTTTCAGAAATCTAGATGCACAGTATGAAATGGCAAGATCACAGACTCATACGCAAAGAGGAATGGGATTGGGGTTTACATCTTCAATGCGAGGAATGGATGCTGTTTGAAAAACAAACAAACAAAAAAAGCAGTTTTAAAGTTTTGGGACTATGGAAGGTTCTTGTTCAAATGTTGGGTCCTTGTTCACCAAAAAGCTAGCATTCTAGCTTGCATGGGTGTTGCATTGACTTTAATTTATTGAAAAATACAATTTTTTTGTAAATATCAGATCAGTGATACTGGTGTTAGTGTTGTAATCAGGTTATACCCACTTCCATTAAACTTGACAGAACTATAGGAGGACAGTATTTTTTAGTTAAAAGTTCTACTTTTCAAACCAAGCAGCAGACGGGATAAACTCATACATGGATATTTCGTGTCCACTGTCTTGTGTACTTTTGTACTTTAACCTTGTACAGTTATTTCCAATTCTTGAAACATGAAAGAAACATTGTGTAGATGTTATTTAGCAGTCTGGGCCAATAGGCACATAATCCAGTGCAAAAAAAACCTGGTTAATAATAAAGACATTTTTTTCTCTAAGGTCTTACTTTATGTTCATTAAGTTGTCTTTTGGGCCAAACTGAGGAAGCTAGTTAAGAGATGTCAGAAAAACTTGAAGTCAGAAATAGTTTGTTTTCCTCTGCTTATTTTGAAGTAGGATTTTCCTAAAATAAGGGGAACTTGCTGTATGCAGCACAACTCAGTGAGGGGTGCTGAACTTTTGTTTCCTTTTCCTCCCTTTTTTTTTCTTTTCTTTTGGTCAGTTTGATACTTGTAAATTTTAGTAAAGAGAGGGATAACAGCAGTGAGAAAGGGTGGGATGTTGGAGCTTAAAAAAGTACTTAGAAGTACTGTTACAGCAGTTATAGTGATAATTTTTCGTAGTAGCTTCTCTAAGCTTGCCTTAGAGGAATGTTGGCTGCAGGGGCCACGTGTGGATGGGCGCTTACTGCAGCCAGCCGCCTTCAAACCACTTCTGTCCTGCACTCTGCTGCTGCCATCGTTTTTTCTGCACCCCTCGCTCTGAGGAAGAAAAAAAAGAAAAAGGAAATAGAAAATTAAAAAAAAAAAAAAAAAGAAAACAAGAAAAAACCGCCCCAGAATAAAGCCGCCCCGAAGAGGGAGGGGCGCGGCCGGCCGCGTCTCGGGCCGCGCTCAGCACTACAGCTCCTGTCTCTT